CCCCCCCCATAACAGATCTTCTTTTCCCAGTATCTTACACAATCGAATATATCCATTCACATACAGTTCTGTTGTTTGATCCCTTCTAGTGGGGTTATACACTCATCAATGCTATCAGCTTCCTATTCCTGCCTTCCCGTCTCACTTTCTTCCTGTACCCTCAGGGAACCATTACTCCTGTTACTGTTTCTGAAGGGTTGTCTATCATGATTTTCATGTCCCGAATGATCTTAAATATACAAATGAGCATATGCAAATCTAATGAGTAATGAAGTAAAACAAATAAAAACTATAATAGTATGGGGAGCAAATATAAAGAACTAGAGGATGGTTATGTGGTTCATCAGTGCTGTACCGTACCCTGGATTTTCATCCTTTCTGTGTGGCCCTGCTGAGAAGGACTGTCCAACTTTCTTACAGGTGGGTTTTGGGTCTCCATTACATCCACACCCCTTCCTGTCTATTTGTGACCAGTAAGAAATTTTTCAAAATTGTGATTTGAGTGAGAGTTTCCAGAGAAAATTAGTTTTCCATTCAACCTTTTGTTTCATAGCATTAGTTGCAATCCCCTCAATATAAAAGAATGCTCCCTACTTCTTCCCTGGGTTCTTGTATCCATTTGTCCTTCTTTCCTGCGGCCTTTTCCTTCTGAGCTTTGTTTTGGGGCAAACGCTGCCCTTTCAGATCTGTAGGATGGTTTGTCCTGTGAAGTGTGTTTCTCCTGAGTGTTATGGTTTACTTTATAGCCTCCCATTTGGCTGCAAGGTGATCCCTAGAGCTAAGTTCAGATTTAGGTTTGAAAGGTATATCTAGTTAGATCTTAACTGGAATCAGATGTGAATAAATCTCTAAACAATATTATGAAATGGTTTTTTTAATCTTTCTCCCTTCATATTTCTTCTTTCCTTCATTCCTCCTCTTTCCTCTTTCTCCTCCTCCTCCTATTCCTCCTGCCTCTCCGTGTCTTTTCTTGCCTTCTTTCCATTCTCCCTCCTTTTTCTTTCTTCCTTTCTCTCTCCTCCCTTTTATTTATTTATTTTTCAATTTTTAAAAATCATTTTATTGGGGGCTCTTACAACTCTTATCACAATCCATCCATCCATCCATCCATCCATTGTGTCAAGCGCATTTGTGCATTTGTTGCCATCATCATCCTCAAAACAGTTGCTGGCTACTTGAGCCCTTGGAATCAGCTCTTCATTTTTTCCCCTCCCTCCACGTTGCCCCCTTCCTCATGAACCCTTGGTAATTTACAAATTATTATTATTTTGTCATATCTTACACTGTCCGTCGTCTCCCTTCACCCTCTTTTCTGTTGTCCATCCCCCAGGGAGGAGGTTATATGTAGATCCTTGTAATCAGTTCCCCCTTTCTATCCCACCTTCCCTCCACCCTCCTGGTATCGCCACTCTCACCAGTGGTCCTGTCTCCTCCCTTTTAAAAATAATTATGGAGAAGCTTTTTTAGGTCTGGCCAGACGATACTGGGATGTCAGTATTAAATGTATAAACAGTACTTGCCTTAAGAAATCTTAAAACCACCGGAAAGACAGAAATCATACTAATAATGAAAATGTGAAAATCAAACAAGAAGTACAGAGAGTGGCCCAATCATACGAAGGAAAGGCTGCATTTCCTTGGGGAACTAATCTTTAGGATGAGACTGGCTGTTAACAAGGGAAAGAGGCAAATGAATGAATTCCCTCTGGATTGGTTTCGTAGGAAGGTATGCATGAACTGTCAAGGATTTTATCTTGTTTGGATCCTTTATCAATGCTCATGGAAAGAGCAGTCAAGAGAGCAAGCAACACCTTGCATTGGCCAATCTTCTGCCAAGATCTCTTTGAAGTGCTGAAAATCAAGGAGGTTAATTTAAGGACTCAGGTGAGCCTGACCCAAGCATGGTATTTTCCATTGCCTCGTATGTATGTGCAATTTGGGCACTGAATAAGGAAGACAAAGAAGAATGGATGCATTTGAATTATGGCGCCGACGGAGAACATTAGAAGTACCACGGATGGGCAAAAGAACAAACACATCCGTCTTGGTAGAAGTACAGTCGGAATTCTTCTTGGAACCAAGGATGGTGAGACTTCATCTCACCTACTCTGGACATGCTGTTAGGTGACCATTCCCTGGAAAGGGACATCATGTTTGGTTAAGTGGGGGGGGGGGGGGGCGCCTGAAAAAAAAAGATGAAGATCCTCAACAAGAGGACACAGTGGCCGCAATAGTGCACTCAAGCACAACAATCATTGTGAGGGTGGTGCAGGACCGGGTGACGTTTGCTTCTGTTGTACCTAGGATCAGTATGAGCTGGAGTTTATTCCATGGCACCCGATAACAACAGCAGCATGAGTGAGAGAGCAGTTGGGCCCTGGGATTTAAAATATCTTTAATCATTTAAAATGCTTGATAATGGAGTTAAAACTGGCTATAAAGGGAGATGAAGTTAAGAAGGAGTCTTAGTGGTAAGGACAAAGCTTAAGTGTCAAGGGAATGGAAGCTTCAATGAATTCAAAGCAAGAGCGCAGTGTGAATCATTGAGAGCATATGCAAGAGGAAGAAGAGACTGTGGAGCCCACGCAATGGCTCACAGGTGAGTTGTGAGTTAGTCATTCAGGGAAGAGTGGTGAGATTAGGCAAGTGATTACGGAAGATCGTGGAGGCAAGGAAGAAAGTCATTGTTGATGAAGAAAAGGAGAAATTGAGAAGCCAGAACGTTGAATAGCTCATTTATCCAGATGATGTCACCGAATCATTGGCTTGTCATTGGATGTCACAGCAGGATGTGAAGTAGAGAAGACTGTGAGTTGAGTACTGAAGTTTTCTCTGAAGAGGTAGTATGGCTGGTATATCATATGCTTGGCAGATTGGAGATTCTCAAACTGTGGCCCACAGAGCCCATGATTTTTTCAGGGGTCTTCAAGCTCAAAACAAGTTTCATAATAATATGAAGACAGTGTTTCCCCCTGTCATTGTGTTTATAAACCCACTGATGGAGGGAAAACAATGGCAGATAGGATTGTTAGAGTTTGGTACAATCAAGGCAGCGACCATAAACTCACAAGAAAATTTTTGTTTTTTATTTTAAAAAGTCCTTCTTAAACCTGGCAGAATTGTTAATGTTATTAAGCCTCCATCCTTGAGTACATGTGCTTTCCATGTTCTCTGTGGCAATATGGGAAGAATTCACCAATAACCAAATGTGAGCTTCTAGGGGAAAATTAAATTTTTTGTAAACTTGGATTTACCACATACGCTTTGGATACAAGAGCCATTAAAAGTACACATAGGCCAATGGACATGAGTATAGGAGAATGTGAAATGCTATGGGTATGTTTTCAGATTCCACAGGTAACTGACATTTTAGGGATTAGCCTTTATAAACTTTTGGGGTGGCGTCAAAGGAGAACATTCCCAGTAGTCGGAAAAGACAAAACATTCCTTCCTTTTCCAACTACAGAACTGCATGAGGTTTGAAGTTTCCCCATACACTTCAACCAACATAGCATATAGCAACAGCTTGATTGTGGAAGTAGAAAGGAAATTTTAGCTGCTTCTATGCAGCCAAAATGTAAAAGAATGACAATTTTCTCACCAGTTATTTTTCTCAGAAATCTTTTATAATATTATGTGTTTTTATGGTAGCATGTAATGGGCTTACATGGTAATTTCGAAACAAATTTATAAATAATTCAAGTTTTTCTCAGTTTTGCTTTTAAATTATGTGACTACTGATAGATATAATGCATTTCACGACAGCTCTTTGATATTATTAATTCATAAGCGTATAAAGGGTTTCTGATACTAAAAGTTTGAAGGCAAGTATTAATGATAAGAACTTTAGATAGTGTTGAAAAGAATAGGAATTCCAGAATACTTCATGGTGCTCATGCAGAACTTGTACATGGATCAAGAGGCATTGTGTGAGCAGAACAAGGGAATACTGCATGGCTTAACACCAGGAAAGGTGCGTGTCAGGGTGGTGTGCTCTTGTCCTACTTGTTCAATCTGCATGCTGAGCCAATCAGCAGAGAAGCTGGACTGTATGATGACGAGTGTGGCATCGGGATTGGAGGAAGGCTTATGAACAAGCTGCTATATGGAGGTGACACAACCATGCTTGCTGAAAATGAGGACTCAAAGCACTAGCTGATGAGGATCAAGGATTGCAGCCTTCAGTATGGATTACAACTCAATGTAAAGAAGACCTAAGTCCTCACAACTGGAGCAATAGGTAGCACCATGTAAATGACGAAGAGGTTGAAGTTGTCCAGGATTTCACTTGCTAGGATCCACAGTCTGGGCAAGAAAGGCAGGGTGGACTTGCCCCACTGATCAAGAGTGTAACTTCATGGAAAAAGATACGAAGTCAGTGGCCACCAAATTGATTCTGAGTCATGGTGATCCCACGTGTGTCGGAGTAGACTTACGTTCCATAGGGTTTTCAGTTGTTGATTTTTTGCAAATAGATCATAAGGCCTTTCTTTCAAGGTGCCTCAGGGTGACTGCTAACCTCTAATTTAACCACATGAATGGTCTGCACTGCCTTAGGACATAACCCCATGAAGTCATGCTATTATTAACCTAATTTTATGGATGGAAAGGTTGTAGCACAGAGAAATTAAGTAGTTCAAGTCTTTAAAACCAGTAAGAGGCTGAGATTCAAATTCAGTCCTCGGACCTCAAATCCAGCTGGGGCTTCCTGCTAATCTGGCTCACCAAAAAAGAATTCCATTCTCCTCAGCACTGTAGGTCTAAAATTGGAATAATTTGATCCTTATAGGATTGCCATATGGCTAAGGAGGTGATTATGTAAGCCTTCAACACCAATACCTGCATTAGCAGTAGGACAATGAAATTGTTGATACCATCCATAGCTACTCCTTGTTTCAATTATGAACTGCTTTTTTACGGGAAGGAAAATGTGCACATTTTTCTTTTTCTTTTTTGCCTAAATGTTGTGCTCTGAATTGTGGGACTTTGTTCTCTCTTTAGGAGAATAAGCCGGGCTGATGAAGCTTCCGCTCCAACTCCAGTTAGCTGCCAGCTGAGCAACTGGTCAGAGTGGACAGATTGCTTTCCGTGCCAGAATCAAAAGGTGAGATACTGACAGTCACGTTGGGGCTATTTTAAGTTTGCATATCAGCCATTCCAAGGGAAAGGAGCATTGCCTTGCTAAGTTTAGCCACGACTCATCTGTCGGTTTGTTGTCCTGTGGTTGTTTGCATGTTGCAGGGACTGTCACTGACATTTCACATACCAGCAGGGCCATCCAGGGTCAGCGTGCGTCAGCAGAACTACCAGAATAAGACGGACTAGGAAGAAAGACCTCATAACATATGAGTGAAAATTAGCCAGTGAAAACGGTTTTGCTCACAATAGACCATTGTCTGACTCTCTGGCTTTGAACTCTTCACCAGGAGAGACCAGTTGCTGGAGGAGGACATTATGTTTGGCGAAGGAGACAGCCAGGGAGGGGGAGGGGGAGACAGATAGGCATGATAGTCACCTGATGGACGTGAGTATACGTACTGCAATCATGAGATGGGTTAGGTCCAGAAAACATTTTATTCTCTTAGATAATAGGCTACCATGAATTGGCGTCCGCTCACCTATCCTTCCATCCATCTATGCATCCAGCTTATAAGTCTAGAAATCTGGATAGAAATTGCCCTACAAATGGGTTTGGGGAATTCATGACCACCTGGATGGCGGAACTATTTCTGCCTTGTCCATTTTGTTCGTGAGACATTATTGGGCGAGGTGACAAAAGATGGCAGCAAAGTGCCCTTCTGGACATGGGCTCATTTCTCCCTAATGGCTCCTCTGGGTTCCAGCCAATCTGCTGTCCTTCAATTAGAGCCATCCAGAGGGGGCTTTGTGACAAAACGCCAAACTGCCTATGACTTGCAGGAAGCTGAGATAAACCAGAAAACGCCGAAGTGCGTGTTCCTCGAGGATTCAATTTTCATGGTCTGACAAGGCAGCCACACCCAGTGAACAAAGGCATGTCTAAGTGAGCTCTATATCACTTTATATACATATTTAGTTATATATAATATAGTTGTAATATATAAATCGATATATTTAACAATACATTCTCTCTCTCTGTCTGTCTATCTACATAACACTAATATATAGGATCCCTGGTGGTGTAGTGGTTATGCGTTGGGCTGCTCACCTCAAGGTCAGCAGTTAGAAACCACTAGCCACTCCTTGGGAGAAAGATGAGGCTTTCTACGCCCACGAAGAGCGACAGTCTCTGAAACTCGCAGGGACAGGTCTATCCTGTCTTATCGAGTCTCTATGAGTCAGAATCAATTCGATGGCAGTGCATTCATTTTATATATTATACACACACACACATATATATATATGTACACATACGTACATGATTTTCAAAGGTGAAAATTTCACAGTAAGTTAGGTTCCCATTGAATAATCTTCTTAGAACTTATTCCGTGACATTGGTTACATTTTCCACACGGTGTCATCATTTCCATTCATTCTGTTCTCTTTGTATCATTTCCAAGACTCTGTTTCCCTGCCCCTTACCTTCTTGTCTTTGCTTCAGTGTAATTTTTGACCCTTTGGTCTAATACGGATGATGTTTTTGAATGGAGTTCATTACTCATGGCAGCTTTCTTTATCTTCCGAGCCACTCTGTTAGTTAACTAAAAGGTAAGTAAGCTTGAAAGACCCAAATGGTCCCGCAAACCCAGTGGCACACGGCAGGAAAGGGATGGTGGGAGCACTCCTCTCTGCCTGGAGGAATATGTCATCACTGCCGTTGGTAGCGATATTTGGGAGGAACATTTCATCGCTGACTTTGGTAGACTTTCTGCCTTGTAGTGATAAAAAGTATACCAACATTTATTTTGTTTTATTATTGCTTCAAAATTCTTCGCAGACAGTGCGCGCTCCTACTGGATGCACCCTGGGTGGGATGGCAGTTAGGCATGCCAGCCAGACATTACTGTGAAGTCCAAGTCTGGACTTTAAAGTCATGGCCCCGTGTTTTAGTCACGTCATCATGTCAGTCATTGAAAGCATTCTTTTCATGCCTGAGTTTCCTCATTTTTAAAATGAGCATAGAAATAATACCTACTGCACAGAGTGAGGGAACCCTGGTGGCATAGTGGCTACAGGTTGGGCTGCAGTCCTCAGGACAGCAGTTCTAAACCACCAGCAGCTCTAAGGGAGAAAACGAGGGCTTTAGACCCCTGTAAAGAATTATACTACCTCGGAACCTCACAGGCAATTCTCCCCTGTGTATAGAATCGCTATGAGTTGCATTCACTTGATGGCAGGGAGTATTCTATAGGACATAGTTACTGTGCGTGTTAAAGAGTAATTCATACAAAATACTTCTGAAAGTATCCGGTACCTAATAAGTGTTCGGTAAAAGCTGTTTCAAGATTCACACCTTGTGTCCTCCCCTCCAGCCCAGCTCCCGTTGTTTTGGACCAAGCCTCTTGGCTCTGCTCCACTGTGGACACCTGTAGGGACCGCTGATACCGGCTGCCCCGCAGACCCACCATTGCTGAGACGTTGAAGTGCTCAGCGAATGTTTGAGGAGTTGTTCACAACCATAGAGCTTGTCAGTGGGAGAACCATGATTTGAACCCAATTCATTCCATTTCAAAACTGGATGTGATTATTCGACTGTCACCGTCACACCACAGCTCTAAAAATGCCCACAAATCCTAGACTTGCCTGTTTAAAGACATATGGGCCCCAACTCTGGTTTTGCTCTGATATCCTCTGTTAATTTCACCTGGGGCTCTGCTGGAGAACTGTTCTTTGCCTCTTCCGGTGTGTGGTGGCTGTGGACATTGCTTGGCTTGTGGTCCTATTGTGCATGCCCTGCCTCTGTGGTCATCTTACTTCCTCCTCTTCTTTTGTTCAGGATGTGCATAGTAGGTTGAATAATGGCCTGCCTACAACATCCTAGACTGCATGTTTCCTCATATTTTGCACTTGAGATAGCAGATAGCCTAGGTGAACAACTTACAATTTAAGCCAGAATTGAAATGCTTCTTTGGTGAGTCGAAACAGCATTATGTATCTTCAAAGGAATCTTTAAATTGACTGCATTTTGTTAATTATTTAAGTGAAAGACTACCCTGGTGTTGTTTTTTATTAATGTGTTTCTCCCTCTCAAAAATCATCTAAACAGAGATGTGCATTTCTGGAAAGAAACATTATCACTAGCTAGAAAAGAAAATTGTGTCTTAATGATACCAACCACAGGCAATAGCACGGAGAAGTCCCCGAGGACGTGTCTGTACCAACCTTTCCACCACACAATGTCTTCATTATCTGATGCAAACCTGGAAAACAGGAGCCTGTGGGAACGAAACTCATAGCTCCCACAATCATTCCGAGTCAAGGTCTAACAGGAAGACGGATACTGGCATTAATCGTCACCATTCATTAAATGATATCCACTTGCCAGGAACTGCGCTAATATTTTAAGTGAATTATCTTGTTTGACTTTTACAGTCAACTCTATGTGATAGATATTATCATGCTCCCTTTCAAAATGAGAAGACGGAGGCTTTGGGAGGTGAAATACCTGCTTTTGTCACCCATTGGTAGAATGACAGAGTCTAGATTTAAAACGCTGTTAGTCAAACTCTGAAAGGCCTGTGGGCCTGCCCACTCCTGCCTCCCCCTGAACCATACCGGCGAGTGCGAAGTGACATCAGTGGTCCCTTCATCCAATTCCCACACAGACATAAGTCATTGGCAGTAACCCAACAGCTGGCTACAAGAATGATGCTGATGTTGACAACTATTATCATTCGATGCCTACCAGGAACCGGGCAACCTGCCCATTCCTTTACGTGTCTTATCAGTAATCCTCACAAGAATACTCTCAGATATCATCCCATTTTACAGAGGAGTAAACCGAGGGTCAGAGCCATTAAATAATTAACCCCAGGACACACATGGTGTAAACAGCTGACTGGGATTCTCACCCTGTCTAGAATGACAATCACCCTAACACTTAACCTCACCAGCTTCCAAGGAGGAAAACGGAAATGTGTATGGCTAATAGCATACACATGATAAATGGTGGCTACCGTGGCCATTGTCGTGATGAAAATAGAAAATAACACTGATGAAATTTTCCAAGAAAGAAAATCCAATTTATGCTGATGCACTAATCACTCCCTTATTCACTGCCCTATGGGATAGGAGCGATATTCCCAATTGGCCATTCGTTATGTCTTCTTCCTAAAAAGTGTCCAAAGCCCTTCACACTGTTTTTCCCTGAAGGGCAGGGGAGGTACATGGAAAGGTTTGACCTTCGTTTCTCTCTGGTGCCTCTGCCCCTGGCTAAACACATCAGGCACAGGTGCATAGGAGGAGAGGGGGCATTGCACGTTTTCAACCCTCATTCACTGGCCTGATCTGAGGAAGTGGGAGCCCTTCTGCTCATTGAGCATCAGTGACATTGCAGATGGGGGCGGGGTGCCTCCTTGTGCATGCTCTCTTTCAGTGCTCACAACCCCTCCCCAGATTAGTACTGTCTGCCATGTCAGAAAACCAAAGCGGAACAAAGGTACTTGACTGGCTTTGGGTCCGTTCGGCAGTGAATCTGAGATATGAAATCAAAAATCCAAGTGTAATTTGCATGCTCATGTTTCTCTAACTGTGGCACCCAGTTGAAAGAATCACTTGTAAGTGTGATGAATGGGGTCCCCTAGGCCAACCATCACATTGTGTAGGTATGGAAATGGGGGCACAAAGTAGTGAAGTATTTTGCTTGACATCACATCCCACTTCTTACAAGCAGCTTCCGGCTCAAAGTGGCCGTGTGTGCCAGAGAAGAACTGTATTATCAGTGGCTGAGGGAAGGAGATCTCCAGGCATGCTTTTTAAGGCACCTCTGAGTGGACTTGAACCTTTCAGCTAGAAGCTGTGTGCATTAGCACCACCCAGGGACTCCTGACACTACACCGTCTTACATGGCAAGTGCAAGCAGAGACAGGCAAACCACGACCTACAGAAGGAAGATGCTACCTACCGTCGTGAGGGAGAGTAGTCCAGAGGAGATGAGCCATGAATCTTGCCAGATGAGTAGGAATGGAGAAACAGAAAAAGGGATAGGATGGAGATCCTGCCCAGTGATGAGGAATACTTAGAAATACCTGATCCAAGCCTTTTTTTTGAATGCTCGGAAGCTCTCTGCCATCTTCCAGCTGGTGATTGTGCCACCTCTGTTTGAACATCAACGGTTTTGAGCATCCATCCCCTCAAAAGACAGCTTTGCAGGCAGGCAGTTCTCAATCATAAGACAGCTATTCCTTATGTTGAGCGGAGACCTGCCTGTACACATCTTGGTTGACTGATTGACAATAATGTGTCTGTTTAAAAAATCTGATTTAGTACAGATACAGGAGCCTCCTGCAGCCAAACAAGTTTGGGGGAGCCATCTGCAGCGGTGATGGCTGGGATCAAGCCAGCTGTCACAGTCCCACGGCTTGTCTAAGGAAAGCACAGTGTGGACAGGATTTCCAGTGTAAGCAGACAGGTGAGTAGCATTCCGGCGGGACAGCAGCTGTGACTGTCAAATTTAAAGTGCAGAAACTTACCCAGGGAGCTTGTTAAAATCTGGAAGCCGGAGTCAAGTCCTTCCTTTAGAGCTTGACATTCGGTAGTTTTGGTCCCCGGAATCTGCATTGGAAGCCAGCCTCCCAAATCATTTGGAGGGGGGCAGATAATCATGCCTGTTTTACTCACTTAGAAAATGTACAATTCATTCATTCATCTATGAAGGTAACAACTATTTATTGGGCATCTATTGTGTGGCAGGTGGTCACACAGAGATGAAGAAGCGCTGTGCCGGACCTCAAGGCACTTCTAGTCTGTTTGGGAGACAGCCTGTTGCTGTGTGCCCTTGAGTCGGCTCCCACTACTAGCAATGTCACAACGAGACAAGTAGAACAGCACGATGTGGTTTTCTGGCCGGAACTCTTTATGGCAGCAAAGGACCAAGATTTTCTTCGGTGGCACTGTGGGGTGGGTTTGAACTGCTGGCCGTTTGGTTAGCATCTGAACACTTCATCTTGGGGCCAGGAAGTCTCCTGGGAGAGATTCCAACTAAGGGTGAATTAAAATATCATGTGATCACAGCTGTGACTGGCATAAGGGGATGGTCCAGTGGGCACCCTGATCTTCTCAGGAATGTCAATGCAGCCTCAAAAAAGAATTTGACCGGCAACTTGAAGGAGTAAAAGAAGAAGAAGAAAGGAAGGACAGAAGGAAGGAGAGAAAGAAAGAGAGAAGGAAGGAAAGAAAGAAAGAGAGAAGGAAGGAAGGAAGGAAGGAAGGAAGGAAGGAAGGAAGGAAGGAAGGAAAGAGGTTTCTGGGCAATAAGGAGAAAGGATGAGTGAACACATGGAGATTCAGGAACTAGCCATCCACCAGAATAATGGCAATGGCAGGCATTGGGAAGACAGTCAAGGGATGGGGCTGTTGAGGTCACCAGGGAGCAGGCGAGAAAAGCCCTTGTACCAGACTGTGACATGTGGGAGAAGAGCAATGGGAGCCACGGGAGCCACTGCTCTGGGGGTGATAAGGTAAGCAGGCATTTGGAAAATGGTAGGCTGGGTGACAGCAGGAGTGAGAGGGGAGTGCACTTGCTGGGAGACAAAAGATGGGAGGGAGGCAGGGGCCATGATGTCAGGAACAGGCTGGGGGCAGGCTTGGGTCAGGAGGGGAAAGGAAGAGGGCAGGGTGAGGCTGGCAGCACCCATCACATCTCTTCTTCCTCTCAGGTCGCTGTCTGAAACCCCACCTTGTGTGCAATGGGGACCAGGACTGCATGGACGGGTCTGACGAGGAGGACTGTGAACACATCCGGGTGATTGACAATGACTGCAGCCAGTACGATCCAATTCCAGGATCCGAGAGGGCAGCCTTGGGGTGAGCCATTGCCATTGGGGAAGGAGATGTCCCCAAGCCTGAGTGTTAGACTTGTAGCGAGAAGGGGCCCTGTCTCCTCCCCTAAGGTGGCTGCGCCATCCTGCCAGGTCATACTGCTCACACTTTAGCCTCTGAACCATCCCCTGCAGAGTCGTCCTCTCTCCTAGTCCCTCCCCAGTCTGCTGATCATCTCTTTCTACCCCATTCTGATTTAAGAACCATTGAAACCCAAGGTCACTTTCCGATAGGCCTGTTCTCATTCTGTTGTGCACTACAGCTGGTTGTATAACCATTGCTAACAGCACGATGGAGTCCCTTGGTGGTGCCTTGGAATACAGGACTGGCGATTTAGTTCAGAAAAACCAACCATTGAAAGTATAGAGTGCAGTTCTCCTCTAAGCCACGTGGGACTCCCATGAGTCCAAATAGACTTGAGAGCAATGGAGCATGGTAATAGTGCAATACAGCACAAAGAAACTCTGGGAGGGAGACAAAGAGGGACCTGGATTCCCACTGGTTAAACCGAGCATCTAGCCCACCTGCTGTATGGGGCCGTTACGTCAGCCTCGATCTTAACTTCTCTTCACCATGCACCTCACGCTCAAGGGGACTTTCATGGAGGCCCCGTAGTCTTTCTCTTCTCTTCGGAGCCTGAGTAGATTCAGTTCCTTTTGTCTGGACTGGTCTTTCTCATCTTCGTAACCCACCGTCACCTCCTCCAGGAAGCCTTCTGGACAGACAGCTCCCCCTGACTGTGTCTAGACTGATTTCGTTCCTGTGACTCCCGGAGTCCCCTGGCGTGTCCTCTCACTCACTGCCCTCGAGTCAATGCTGACTCACAGAGACCCCCTGTGGGTTTCCGAGACTGTAACGTTTATAGGAGTCGAAAGCCCAGTCCTTTTCCTGAAGCGCTGCTGGTAGTTTTAAACTGCCGACCATGTGTCCTCCTATCTCAGTATTTACCTGCTGAGTTGGGAGTTCTGTTGAAGTGTTCACACGCTCCGGCTGAGAGCTTCTAGAGAGATCTGTCTTTCCACCTTTGTGTCTTTAGGCCCAGCACTGCTCTGCTGAGAGGGTATTCTGGTGCCTGCTGCATCGGATACTTGTTAGCTGCCTGCTGCTGTGACTTTAACTTAGGTCTTGTCCCTTAACTGGAATTTAAATTCTTTGTGAAGGCCAAGTCTGCCTCTCACGTATCTTCTGTATCCCCACAGCCCCGATGTCAGAGCTTGTCCTGTAATAGCCTCTCACTGAATATTGGTGGAGTTGAAACAAATCAATATGACGAGCTGAACCATTACAGATGAGGCAATGGGGAGATTCAGTCATTGTCACCAGTGACCGAGCCTTGCTGAAGTCTGCTCAGGGTCAGGAGCAGCTGGGCTGCGGCTCTCATTCATTTAGCAGCGCTGAGATCACAGGTACCCTACCAGATGGGACTGAGTCCTATAAAGGATGTAGCCACATGCATATGGAAAACAAAACAAAAAAGGGACCAAATTCTGTTTTTCTACAGACCAATCAAAAGGGGATTCTTGTTGATGTTGAAAGTTTCTGGGAATGACCAAAGTAGAAGCGTGAAAGATTGAGCTGAGCGATAAACCCTTCTTTATTGGCAAACTGTCCCAGATAACATGACCCGGTTCTTGTGGGAATCAACCAGGGTGAACTCACCAGCTTGACGTGATTCTCAGTCAAACAATAGATGCGTCTTTAAGGGGAATAAAAACACAAGTGAGGTACATACCCCTTACAATAAAATGACCAAAATTTACCCAGCGACAAAATTCAACCAGGTGAGAAAAAGAGGAGGAGTGGAAACAGGAAACAGCGGGAGGACGGAGGAGGCGGAGAAGCAGCGGCCTCTGTGGAGATTGCAACCAACGATCCAGAGCGGAACCTGCATGAAACGTTCCATGCAAAACGGAGCTGCTCTGTGACCTCCCCCATTCACCAGAAAGCCTTCTTTAAAACCACGCCCCTCCCCCGCAAAGCAAACACACTTCCCGAATCAGGAGCCTTTGCCCACAAGGAATGCTGAGTGGAACCAACCACCTTCGCTCTTGACGTTTGGGCTGTTCTTCTACTCATTACAAGATCTGACGGGTCTTCCCTGTTATCTTAAATGGTTTTCCCAATTATGATTTCCCAGATTAAAAAAAAGGTTGAGTGTTACAGAAGTACTGGGTGTTTAAGGTAAAACAGAACGTGCCTCTTCACCTTCCCCACTCACACCTACCCAACTCCTCCCTCCCTCCCGCCCTTCCGCCCTTCCCGCCCTATGAACATTTTGGTGTCGAAACTCCTAGACCATTTACAAATGTATTTATTTGTTATAAAATAAATCTATATATACAAGTTTGGTACACATATACATGCATTTTACATCAATGTGAACTTACTATAGTGTTGTGACTTGCTTTTTTCACTTCACGTATTTGGTAGATTCACCCTCTCATACTCTTTCTTTTTTCATATATTATTGTATAACACAGGCTAGTAGGCCAAATCGGCTTGCTTTCTGGTTTTTATAAATAAAGCTTTATCAAAAGATAGGTTTTGCCTTACCATATCAGTACTGAGTAGCTGCTACACAGACTACAGGTAGCAATGCCTAAGACATAAAATATTTGGCCCTTTATGGAAAGATTTGCTGACTCCTATACTAATGCCGCACGATCATTTATTTGACAATTCCCTATGGATAGACAAATAGACTTTCCTTTTATAAAGCTATAGTGAATATACCTGGATGCATATTTCTGTACACATGTTTAAGCATTTCTGAAAAGTAGATTTCTAACAACTAGGATTTCTCTGCCTTTTCATTTTTACTCATTATTTGGTAGCCATTTTTTTCTAGATATATGTAGATTTTACTTATGATTACAAATTATATTGTTGTTGTTCAATGCCAACAATTTGGTTCTAATTCATAAAGCTCTGTATACGACAGAATTAAACCATGTTCCAGTCCTGCACCGACCTCACAATGGTTATGTTTGAGCACATTGTTGCGACTACGAGGTCAATCCATCTCAGCGAGGGTCTTCTTTTATGCTGACCCTGTGTTCCCACGCATGATATTCTTCTCTGAGGACTGGTCCCTCCTGATGCCCAAAGTATGGACAAAGTCTCCCATCCTTGCTTCTAAGGAGCATTCTGGTTGTACTTCTTCCAAAACAGATTCGTTCGCTCTTCTAGCGCTCAGGGTATGTCCAATAGCTCTTGCCAATACCAAGAATCGAAGGTACCAATTCTTCTTCGGTCTTCTTTATTCATTGTCCAGCTTTTTCATGCAGATGAGGTGACTGAAAATTCCACGCCTTGGGTCAGACTCAAAGTGACATCTTTGCTTTAATATATTTGTAGCATATGTGCTCAGTGCAATATGTCATTTATTGACTGCTCCTTCCATGAGTATTGATTGTAGATCCAAGTAAACGAAATTTCAACCTTTGTGTTTATCATGATGCTGTGTATTGGTCCAGGGGTGAGGATTTTCTTTTTCTTTGAGTTGAAATCCACGCCAAAGTCTGTGTTCTTTGATCTTCGTCAGTAAGTCCTTCAAGTCCTCTTGGCTTTCACCAAGGATAACATCTGTATGTGGCAGGCTGCGAGTGACCCTTCCCCTGACCCTTATGATGCCTTCTTCTACATCTCGTGCAGCTTCTCGGATTGTTGGCTCAGCACACACACTGAATGAACACGGGAAAATATGCAACCCTGGAGCGCCTGCTCTGGTTTTTAAACCGTTCAGTATCCCTTGTGTTCTGTTCGAACAACTCTCTCTTGCTTTGTGTACAGTTTGCACATTCACACAATTAAATGTTCTGGAATTCTAAATGTTTGCAATGTTATGATCCATAGAGCTGAATGCCTTTGTGTTATCAATAAAAGACAAATAAACAGAGGTTTAAAAGAGGCTACAGCAGAATCTTAAGGTATAGTTTTCCTTTAAGTTGTTGTTTTTAAGCTTTTTAAAATTTAAATTTTAAAAATTTTAAGCTTTTTATTGTGAACTGGATTAAAGTTTTCAAAGCAGATCAATCTTCTATTTAGCATTTTTTATGTATTTTTATTTTATCTTATTGACTGCAATCTCCTCAATGTAGCATCACATAACCAATTTTCCCCTATATTATTTATTTCCGATCTTCCTTATTTTCTAAACTTTAAAAATTTATTCTTGGGTAAATTTCACTCTTTTGATCATTAATTGTTGCTTATTCTAAGAAGTTTAAACTTTCCTAGTGTTCTTGTTGTGCCTTATAGATCTGTCTATTCTTTTGACTGAAAATTGAACCATAGAGATGAATTCATTTCCAGACCCGAAGATTGGCTTAAGAGTCACAGCTTTGGAGTTTCCACCAGCCTCTATCTCATCAGGAAATCTGGTCATTTGAATTATTTCTGATTTTTTCTTGTGCTCTGTCCCGGACCTCCTTCCTAATGTTATCCATTTCCCAGCAGTTGGTAGTGGTGGCTGGGCACCATCTAGTTCTGTTTTTTTTTGGTCTCTGGATCCTGGGGATTGAGAGATTGATGTTCACATAGTCCATTAGTCCATAAAACTAATTCTTTTCACGTATCTTCAATTTTCATACTTCTTCTGGACAGAGAGGCCCAAAGTGATGCATTAGATGTCCACTCATAAGCAGCTTTGAAGACCTCAGCCTATATTTGCTACAGTAAGAGGCAGAACTTTCTTTGGGGACTAGAGAATCTTAAGCCAATGTTTCTTGGTGTTCCCTGAGATCAATGGTGTTGAGTCCCCAAGCCCAGTGTCTCATTTGCTCAAGGTGTTTCAGTATTTTGAGATATTGACAAAACTTTTCCCCCTGTATGCATCACACATTCGTGGATATATTTTGAGCAAAGGTAAATACATATGTACAAACATCCTCTGTCAAATGCTCTTCGTCCCACACAGGTTCAGCCTGCGTGTCTATCCACGTGTCTGCTTGTAGATCACTGCCACTGCAGGATTGTGTATACCACATTATGTTTCTGTTTGGCCCACTAGAGAATTTGTATTTATAAACTATAGGCAGAAATATTTTCAAGGGGTGAGAGGATAGAAACTACAGGATACAGTAAAATGAAGAAGCCCAGATTTCAGTGTCAAAAAGATCTTGGGAAACAAATCTGCTGTGACTAAAGGCAAGTTAGTATTTTGAGGTTCAGCTTATGCATTTGCAAAATTGTTGTGAAATTGAAAGCTAATATATTAAATGTGACAGCATTTGTATACAAGTTACCATAGCTACTATTTTTAAAATCATTTTATTGGGGGTTCATACAACTCATCATAATCCATACATACGTCAATTGTGTCAAGCACATCTGTACATTCGTTGCCCTCATCATTCTCAAAACATTTGCTTTCTATTTAAGCCCCTGGCATCAGCTCCTCATTTTTATCCCTCCCTCCCCCCTCCTTCATGAACCCTTGATAATTTATAAATTATTATTTTGTCATATCTTACACTGTCTGACGTCTCCTTTCACCCACTTTTCTGTTGTCCACCCCCCAGGGAGGAGGTTATATGTAATTGGTTCCCCCTTTCCAACCCATCCTCCCTCCACCCTCCCAGTATTGCCACTCTCACCACTGGTCCTGAAGGGATCATCTGCTTGGGATTACCTGTGTTTCCAGTTCCTATCTGTACCAGTGTACATCCTCTGGTCTAGCCAGATTTGTAAGGTAGAATTGGGATCATGATAGTGGGAGAGGGTGGGGAGGAAGCATTTAGGAACTAGAGGAAAGTTGTATGTTTCATCGTTGCTGCACGGCACCCTGACTGACCTCTCAGTAGCAGCCCCACACATAACCCACTATGCCCCTAAGGTCAACTCAAAATATTTTTGTTCCATTAGCTTTCTCTTTTTTCAAAAATATTAAAGCTATATTTCAGCAGAAATTAGTGGAAATATTAAGCAGAATATTATTTTACTTATTTTCTGTAGCCTAAAATATGGAACACGGGGATGATATATTTGCTATACCTCTGAGAGGAAAGTATGGAAACATACCCCTGGAAGGGTATTTATTGCTCTAGAGGATGGAACATTACTTGTTGAGTGCCGAGCATGTACCATTAACTCTTTTTATCCTTTAATACTCTCATTTAGATTTCACAAAAACCCTAAGTGGTAGATATTGTAATGACTGTTCTTCAAACAGTTAACCGAGCTTCAGACAAGTTCTAGAACTTGTCTAATGTAATGCAAATGGTAGTGGCAGAGCTCAAAATAAAACAGGAGTCTCTTTGGCTTTCAAACTGTGTAGCTTCCAGTATCTGTAGCACTGCCCCTAAGGTAAGGTGACCAGATTTTGACATTGGTAAAGTGGGACACCATTGATAAAACTCATATCCTGGCGAAATAGCCACATGGCAGCCGAAAACCATATACCCTAGCTTGTCATGCATTCTTTCCAAAAATTGGGACTTTTAAAAAATGCTGTGGGACGCGGGAAATTTTGTTAAAAATCGGGACTGTCCTGTCAAAAGCGGGATGTCTGGTCAACTTATTCTAAGGGTTAGACTCTACCTTAATCTTATGAGTGATCCTCAGTTTTAAAACTTATTTTTATACATCAAGAAAACTATTTAAAAACAACAAAGAAGAAAGAAACCAGAGTTGCCCAATGACTGTGGCAGGAGGAGGACATGACAGCACATCAGGCTTGTGTTTGTGGTGGTGGAGTACTGGTGATCTGGGAAAGCTATCAATAATGGTTGCATACTCGAGTATAATCAGTGGCATTGAAATATACATGTAGAAGGTACTGAATTGGAGAGTGTTCTCCCACCCACCACAGGTAAGAAATGATAATAATGACACTAGTAATGAGTACAAGGAAGAGGAAAATGTGCTAAATTGACTGTGGTAATGACTATCCAACTCTCCTGGATATGATGCAACTATTGAATTGCATGATATGTGGAAGAAGCGAAAAAGACAAAAACAAAAAGTCCTTGATTAACCTCCAACATTTAAGACTCTAGACGCTATATTGTCTGATAGCCGGGCACCATAGCTGTCTTCACCACATTTGCTTATGCACCTATTTTGTCTCTGCAATCATGTTGGGAAGGGGAACATCACAGAATTCCAGGTTATTACTAACAAAGAGTTTTTGCACTTAGGGCGGGCTTGAGCAGAGGCCCGATGTCCATCAGCTACCATAGTACTTAACATAGAAATAAATGTGCACATACCAATATCTCTACCGTTATATATTAATACATTTTGCATATATGTGTGCCTATATTTATACCTCTATAAATGTCTTTTTGCCTCCTAATTCTTCTCTCCATTTCCTTTTACTTTCCTCCTGTTCCACTATCATGTTTGATCTTCATGCAGCTCTCCATAATTCCTTTTGACTATATTGCACTTGATCAAACCCCTCCAGGCATTCTATGCCCTCCTCGTCATCCATTTTAGAACTCTTATTGTTCCCTTGTCCCTGAGTTTGTTGCCTCCTCCCTCCCTTTCCCCCATCTTCTTCTCCCTGATTTCACCCCCAGAACCATTGGTCCCATTGTTTACTCTTGGGGATCGTCTATCCTGTCTATCTTGTATAGATAGAATAGAAAAAAAATGAGGAGAAAATTCACTGAATCTTACAATCTCTTTATGAAAGGTATAGTGCTATTAGCTGATTTTCTTTCCCTTAAGAGCCCTTTTGAGACATATGGATCAAATAATTCTCCTATTTAACATACATAATTAAATATTTTTAGTATATTCATAGGAATATTCAGAGTGTATTCACCACCACCTTTTAACATATATTAAGCACTTAGTAAGCATTTTGTTGTTGATGTTGTTACTATTTCAGAAGGAGGCTCTGCTACTCAAGAAAATGTTTTAAAATTTGAGGCAATATTTTCATGATCTCAAAAAGAAACATCCTTTATATATTTTTGCTATCATATTTCAACCTGGTCACCCCTGCCTTGCCTTTAGGCAACCATGGAACTACCTCTCATGTCTACAGATCTCTTTGTTCAGGATATCTCCTGAGAATCAAATCACAGAATACACAGTTTTTGTGCCTGACTTCTTTCACTTCGCATGATGTCTCCCAGATTCCTCCATGTTGCAGCATCACCCACTACTTCCTTTTTTATGACCAAATAAGATTCCATCATTGGTACATCCCATCCATTTATCCATTGATGGGCATTTATTCGAGGTGTTTCCACTTTGGGGCTGTCATGACAACTTAAGGATACAGGTGTTTGTGAACGAGATGTTTCCATCTCTCTTGATTATAGACCTGGGGGTGGAGTGCTGGGTGGTGCGGTAACTTTATGCTTAACCATTTGAGGGGATACTGGGTACTTCGCCAAGACAGCTGCATCACCCGCTCCTCCCAGCAGTCTAGGAGGACTTTGATTTCCCTGAATTTCACCAGCATTTGCTATTATCTTTAATACCATTACTGAGGCACAAGAGGGACTGCTTTTCTCAAGGTCACACATATAGCAGAGCTGAGAAATGGACTCAGTCTGCTCCCTGTGCAAATCATCTGTCTGAATTATCCACAAAATCTTCAAAGGCCTCTCATATATGGGAACACCATTCTCGATGCTGAATGGAGCTTTCTGGCCACCTATTTAGTGCCCCATTGTTACTCAATGTGGCCCTTAAGGTACCTTGAGGAATCCGTGGGCTCTGCAGAATATAGTTTGAGAAACATTGTGTTAGAAAGGGTTCTCTAGAGCAGTGGTTCTCAGCCTTCCTAATTCCACGACCCTTTGACACAGTTCCTCACATTGTGGTGACCCCCCAACCATAAAATTATTTTTGTTGCTACTTCATAACTGTAATTTTGCTACTATTATGAATCAGGCAACCCCTGTGAAAGGGTAGTTTGACCCCCAAAGGGGTCATGGCCCACAGTTGAGAACAACTGCTCTAGAGAAATCAGGACACTTATGATTTTAGATAGGTAGATAGAGATAGATAGATAGATAGATAGATAGATAGATAGATAGATAGATAGATAGATAAAGATAGATACAACACGAATAAATAAACAGCTAATTAGTCCACAGAGCAGTACAGAGGGCTCAGATCAACTCACTTCTGTGAGACAGTGGATATACTGGCAGTCCTTCAACTCACGAGAGCTACTGGGTGCAAGTTAAGGAAGCAGACAGCTGAGTCTTCTGTAGAGCAATACAGGAAGTCCAGACACAAGCAGCAAACAGCAGGGCAGGTCACCAACAGTCAGGTGACAGGGTCCAACAGTCCCCAGCTCAAGTGATGTCTACACCAGCAGTGTGGAGAAGCAGGTCTCGAAGGAACCTCAAACTGTAGCAACACTGTCCATGGGTTGGGTGTCCCACAGGTAGTATAACTCACAGGTTGAGGCAGAGAACTAGCTAAGGCAGCTGCACACTGGTCTGATCATCAGAGAGCAAGAGACAGAAAGGCAAGGTTCACTGAGCAATTTATTTCTTTGCCCTTCAATTAAACTGCAACCTTATTAATCATGCATGTGTTTATTGGCCAGGTTGGCACAATAAACCTACCTATCACAAATGTCTTCCAGAGAACACATGCTGTGCTATCTTGGCCACTCAAAACTCTCACCCAGAAACTGCCTTTTCCATTTAGGTACAATATCCTGACCCAGGAAGAAGGTCAGAGTGTGTATGATGCCAGGTACTACGGTGGCCAGTGTGAGACAGTATACAACGGGGAATGGAGGGAGCTTCGATATGACCCCACCTGTGAGCGTCTCTACTATGGAGATGATGAGAAGTACTTTCGGAAACCCTACAACTTTATGAAGTACCACTTTGAAGTAAGTCTCAACAGGGATGTTCCCAGGCCACTTCAGGGTGGGTGGCAGGGAAGCCAAGGACTGTTCATGGCTTTACCTTGCTTTGGGAGCTTTAATGTCCAATAGAGTTTGTGGACAGCTGAAGATCCTGCTCCTTCTGCCGCTACAGATACCCTGGAAGGGAGGGCTCTGTGAGGCAAGGCAGAGCCAGTGAGAGGCATGCTGCCAATGTGCTCACCCTCCTATTGCATCTTGGCTCCCCTCATACAGGCATACCTCATTCTATTGCACTTCGCTGTACTGCAACTCCCAGATAAGAAAACATGTTTGGAAACGGAAGATCTGTGGCAACCCTGCATTGAGCATGTCTATCCACGCCGTTGTTTTTCCAAGAGTGCATGCCATTTTGTGTCTCTGGATCACAATTTGATATTTCTCAGGATATTACAGATATTTTTATAAGTCTATTGCATAGGGAATGGCCTACAACCCCATAAAAACATAATTTTCATGTGCATTTGGAAAAACAAAATTTAAAAAAATGTGTATTCACGTGATCACCATGGTCTGGAACCAGACCCGCAATATCCCCGAGGTCTGCCTGTCGTATTTTGGCTTCACCACCTCTATGTAGTGGTGGGTATATGTACATGCATATTGCAGGAGTGCGTCAGTGGCACACATGGTTAAAAACTCAGCTCCTCCGTGGAACACAAACTAGATGAGTGGGACCTATTCAAACTAAGACACTTGTGTATACCAGAAGACTTCATCAAATGAGTAAAACGAGAGCCCACTGACTGGGAAAGATAGGTAGTAATCACATAACAGACAAAGGACTAATTACTAAATTCTACAGTATTTTACAAGCCTACAACAAGAAAAAAACTAATAACCCTCTGAGAAGGTGGACGAAGTTCTGAACAGACGATTCACCAATGGATGACACTCGAACGGCTAATAAACACATGAGGAAATGCTTCCACTCACTAGCCATCCAGGAAGTGTAAGTAAAACCAACCAGGGCATACCACCCAATGCCCATAACTGTAGCCCGATTTAAAACAATAGCAAAATAAACCGAGAACAACAAACGCTGCAGAGGGTTTGATGAGATTGGAACTCTTATCCTCTGTCGGTGAGCTTATACGTACATACACCCACTGTGGGAGGCAATACCTAAAAGACATGGCAACAGAAATACCGTATGATCCAGCAATACCATTACTGGGCATAGACCCCAAAGAAATAAGAAACATATCATGAATAGACATATGCTTCCCCTTGTTCACAATAGCAAGAAGCTAGAAAGAGCCTAAATTTCCATTAGTATACAACTGGATAAAACAACAACAACAACCAACTCTGGTGTATATATGCCCAATAGAATACTACACACCCCTAAAAAACAGTGACGAAGCCATGAAACACCTCAAGATGTGGAGGGATCCGGAAGACATTGTGCTGAGTGACGTTAGTTAATCACAAAAGGCCAAATGCTGTATGAGTCTGCTGCTGTAGGAACAAGCAACAGAACAGGCACAAGCTCAGGCTGTAGGGCATCCAGTCTGCTGGCTAGAGGGGCCAGACTGGTTGGTAGAGAGCCTGCCAACGAACCATACATCATCTGCTCTAGGTCAGTATTTTGAAGGTCACTTGACCAGAAGGCACCTCATGTCAGCTGGGATCAAATGGTGAAGGGAGAGGTTGGGGATGTGGTCTATAGAGTGTCTGCCATGTAAATCTGTGACGAGGTCCCCCCAGACAGGTAGACAGCCCTATCCGAGGGAAGAGGTACAGTGATGAGAAAAACAACACAGCAGAGGGGAAGGAAGCAAACATGACTGGGGAACACAATTGCATGTCTGTTGGTAGGAAAAGAGGGAGGACTGACCTCCGGTTTGGGGGAAGAATGACTGAAAATGCTTTGGGGGACCCTAGAGGGGAAGTGTCCCTGGTGGTGTGTACCAGATAGGCTACATTGACCCGGGCTTCTGGTGCATCCTGGAGACCCAGGCCAGGGGTCGTGGGACACTGGGACACTGAATCCTGGATCTTCGAGGCACATGGCATGTTCCAGAGGCTGCATCCATGACATCCAATGTGGAAACTCCACTGGGGGAGCTGGACTCCGCCTCACACACACTTGTAATCTGGGGACTTAAGTCAGAAAAGACACTGTGTCTGAGGAAGCAGGAGACAGCTGTATCAAGATTGTCGAACTGTTAGTAGGCAGACAAACATGGTCTTGCTACATCAGTGCTCTATGTGCTGTATTAAGATATGTATTATTCTGTCAAACCCATGATGGACATTCTATTTTATTTTGTTCATGTAAGGGTGCATCTCAGAGGTCATTGGAGGTCACCTTCATGAAGTTATGTTATATGTTTTTTGTTTCTCAGTATATGAAACTATAGGGACAACACGTAGCGTAAGGGTTTCAGTAGGAGGGCAGGGATGTGGGGAGAAGGATGGTGATGGAGAGGTAAAAGGGAGATGATGCCAAGGAGTCCAGGAAGAAAAAGTACGTTTGGAAACTGATTGTGGAAGCAATTGTACAATTCTGCTTGATGTGGTTGAACTAAGGAATGATGTGATATATGTATTAACACCCTATTATTAATAATAATAAACCCACATAGATCCAGGAATAGGTTTTGGGCTCACACTAAATCCTAGCTCCAACTTTAGAACAATTAGTTCTTACATCATGGCCCTGCTCGATACTCACCCTCAGGAAGGGAACACAGAAGACACAGGAGCGATAGCAAAATGTGGCGAAGAATTTTGGTTTTGCTCGGCTATCGGATAAAATAGCATCTGGGGTCTTAAAGGCTTGTCTCCAAACAAGCAGCCATTTAAGTGAGATGTCAACTAAGTCCACACCATTATCAGTCACCGAAGGTCTGTAAACCATATAACCCGAAACCAGAGGCTAAACTATGAGAATCCGATTTGCAGAAGGCTATGGATGAAAATGGGAGCCCAAGATCATTTGTGGGAACTACATAGGCAGTAAGCCTCTGGTGATCTCCCTCTCTCCATAATAGGGGAAGGGGAGAAAAGTGGTTACTAAACAGAAGGCATTGGAGAGATGATGATAGGAGGTTAAAGGCATAAATCTGACTTGAACAGTAAAATCCTTGTCACTGGACCTGATTTGGTTTTCAACATTTTCTGTACTTTTGTTCTTTTGTGTTTTTGTTCATTCATATTAGTGTGTACATCCGAGGAGTTATATCATTGTAGGTCAGCTTCTTGAAGTTGTGTTGTATGTTTTTCTGTGTTTCGGTGTATGAAACGCAGGACTGATGAGCCTATAGGAACAACAAGTAGAAGAAGGGTTTCGAGGGTCTGGGGGGAGTGTACACTGGGTGGGGGCTGGGTGGGGTGGATCTTAAAAGGGAGGCAATGTCAACAAGTCCAGGAAGAAAAAGAATCTGGTAGCAATTGTACAATTCTGCTTGATGTGATTGGACTGTGGCATAATAAGATATCTGTATTAACTCCCGGTTAATAATAAATTAAAAAACAAACCAAAACTCAACCACTAACTGAAAGGCTAGCAATTTGAATCTACCCTGAGGTGCCTTGGAAGACAGGCCTGGGGATCTTCTAAAAGGCACCAGGCCTGGAAGAGTTGTAGTCCCCAGAGTCCACAGCAACAAGCAGCAACAACATGCCCTTGTAGAGGACATTGTGGTATTTTCTCAAATACTGATCTGATACCTGGATTCGTCTTCTGGGAAAATAGCTGAAATCAATCTGAAACATTAGCTGTTGGACAAAGCAGAGATTTGAATAATAAATGGTGGACTTTGTAGGCGCAAGCCTAACTTCCATGTGTTTCTTTGCAGGCCCTGGTTGACACAGAAAGCTCCTCAGAGTTCTATGATGATGCAAACAGCCTTCTCTCTGAAATGCGAAAGGACAAGTCTGTGTCATGGGGAGTGACCATTGGTATAAGCTTGATGAGCATCCCCATAGGTGTGGAGGGGGGTGTATCTGGATCAAAAGACTCTTCATTCTTGGAGAAGTTAACCAAGTATAATGAGCAGGTATTAAAACATAATGCCTGTGTCACACAGTATTCCATAATCTACACGGAGCACGTATTACCTTAATTGCATTAAAAAGTACAGTAGTAATTGAACCTTAATTTGCTTGTGTAATTGGAAATGTCTGATCACTGGTAATCATGTTTGTTTTTCTTATTACGCTTTTGCACACAGAATCATCACAAAGGGAATAGAACTGAACAGATAAGACGAGAACTCTTATCACTTCACCCCATCCTTTTTCCTGGTTACCTAGAGCATATAAGAAAGTACTTAGAATGATAATATGTTCAAGAGAAACAGCCAAGCCCTCTAAATCCGCCTTGGAAGAATGCTAAACCAGGCTTGTTTTACCAGACAAGCAGGAGGGCTGGCATGCACAATGCCTTCCTGAGGGGTCAGGAAATGCTTCCTAGCTGAAGGACCATCTAAGCTGAGCTCTAAAGATACAAATTGGACAGATAGATGGGAGAGAGAAGTTGGCTGAAGGATGCCCCAGATGCAGGGGATGGCTTGTACCAAGGCCTGGACATGGAGCGTGCCTCACATACAGTATAGGGCAGAAAGGACTCTGGCTAGTTGGAGACTGGAAACACGAGGTTTGATGAGGATGAAGAGGTGATCAGGGCCGAGGAAATAATTACCGAATCAATGAAAAATTCACCTAACAGTCTCAATGACATTGATATCAGCAATCTGGATCTACTAGGATTATTACTTAGGATAATGCAAATGCAGTAACAAAATTAACTTCGTTAACAAACACACATAGAGCCATTCATCTAGAACCAAGTATTGTTCCCAGGTCTGATGATGATCCCTGGGTAGTACAAAGAGTTGAGTGCTGGGCTACTAACATTAGGTTAGAGATTCGTTGACCACACAGGAGCGCTAGGAATGAAGGCCTAGTGACCAACCTCTGAGAAACCCTGTGAAACACAATTCTGTCACAACACACAGAGTCACTATGAGTTAGGGTCTGCTCAAAGGCAGTTAGCCTGGCATTCTGCTACAAGGGGGTTTCAAAAACTTTGTGGGGGGAAAAATGCAATAAAAAACAAGGGACATTTTTTTCTCCATTGCCATAGAGTTGATTTTGATAAACAGTTTTATTAACATGTGATTCACACATCATATAATTCAATAATTTAAACATACAAAAGAGTTATACATCATCATCACAATCAATTTCAGAAATTTTCTTCTGCCTTATATGCATTATTATTATTAGCTCCCCATTTCTCCCCAACCCTGCCATAACCCAAAGAAATTATTAATCTAGTGACTGTTCTGTAGATTAATGCATCTTGAATTTCATATAAAGAAAACTATACACAAACAAAAGACAAAACCCTACTCAACTCACTAACATCGAGTCCACTTAGGCTCCTTGTGACCCGAAAGGACCAAGTAGAACAGCTTTCCTAAGACTGTAAATCTTTACAGGAGCAATCAAGCCTTCTGAGAAGAGGCTTGTTGATTTGAACCACTAATCTTTCAGTCAGCAGCCCATGCCAACCCACAGAGCCACCAAGGCTCCTTATCTATACATACACACGCCTATTTCACTCAGCTATTCAATGTTAACCTTTTATAGTAAGTTATCTACTCTTTGTCTTTTCCCTCATTCAATTTTGTTGCTGTTGCCAGAATTATGGTTTCATCAGAATTTTCACCAAGGTGCAGACTGCTCATTTTAAGATGAGGCGGGATAATATCGTACTGGATGAAGGAATGCTGGAATCGTTAATGGAACTGCCGGAGCAATACAATTATGGCATGTATGCCAAGTTCATCAATGACTATGGCACCCATTACATTACATCTGGATCAATGGGCGGCACTTATGAGTATATTCTGGTGCTTGACAAAGAGCAGATGGAATCATCTGGTAAGTAGAACAAATGCTTTCTACACACATTGACCAGCGTATACACTAGGGGGTGCTTTGCAGTTTTCTGAGCCCTGACTATGAGCTACACATGATCTGATTTTGTCTGCATGACAGGAGGAAATGTTGGTATTATTGTTTCAAGGAACTGAGGTATAGAAGGATGGATGGAATGGCTTGATAATAAATGCTAGAAACAGGATTTAAACTCGACTCTTTTGCCCACCCAAATGATACGGTTTCTGTTATATCACATTTGGGTTCTTGATGATAAGGAATCTTTGGGGTCTTGCTACTTAAAATGTTAAAACTTGTTTAAACTGTTGATTCCCAATCAATGGAACCACCATCCAGTCAGTCATTGAAGCCAGAAATTTAGAATCATCCTACATACCACCTTCTATGCACATCATTCCTCTACCTCTCCACGGCCTCTCCTCAACTGCGTCCTTCCAGCCCCTGTCTTCAAGCCCCCTTCTAAGTGGTAGGCTAGCTCCTGTCTTTCAGTTATTACCGCATCTGCACACGAACGGTATCTGCCCGTGGGCTCATCCCTTCCTATCTATCCTTGACAGTTACCCTCAGGGTAGATTTTCTATTTCCCAGACATGATGGTGTTATGTCCTTGCATAATATCCTGGATGACTAACACCAAAGATCTCTTCTTGGTCTGAAAGCTCTGCTGAACATGTTTGCTCTGGGTGAAGGATATGGAAAGTACCAAGGACGGCCCAAAGAACAAACACACCGTTTGGGAAGAAGTACAGCCATAATATTTCTTGGAAACAAGGATGGAGTGACTTCATCTCACATACGTTGGGCCCGTTATCAAGAGAGGACTGGTCCCCGGAGAAGGATGTCATGCATGATAAAGTAGAGGGGCACAGAGGGAGACTCTCTACAAGTGGGATTGGCATCATGGGCCCACATATAAGAACAATTGTGAGGACAGGGCAGTACCGAGTGGTTGCGTGCTGTGTACATGGGGTGGCTACAAGTCAGAACTAGCCCAATGACACCTAACGACAAGACGGAAGACTGTGTTTCGTCGCATGGCACCAACCACCTTTAAGTGGTCTTCTTCCAACCCGTCCAGCAGATGGTTTGCAAAGTGAGGACCCCAGACGGAGAGCATTGACCTCACTGAGGACTTGATAGAAAAGCACATTATTAGGCCCGTATCTCAATTAATTAGTAAGTGTGCAAAGACTGGGAGTTAGACCCCCAAACAAGTCTGTTTACCTTGAGTCTATTTCGACTTATTGCAAACCTACAGGACAGAATAGACTGCCCCCTGGGGCTTCTGAGGCTGTAAATCTTCACAGAAGCAGACTGCCGCAGCTTTCTCCCACCGAGTGGCTGCTAAGTTCTAACTCACCTTTGGGTCAACAGCCACGTACTTAATCACTGTGTCATCAGGCTGCCTGGAAAGGAAAAAGAACAAAAGAAGAGACTATAAAATAGCATGGTGGATTATAGGCAAATTAAGTTACCGTTTCAAGAACGATTTTCCAGTTAAATAAATACATGTGCAATGTGGTAGTGCAGTGGTTACTTGTTGGGCTGCGATGCAAATGGGCGGCAGTTCAAAACCACCACCAGCTCTGAGAGGGAGCAGGCTGGGCTTTCTACTCCTGTGCACAGTGACGGTCTCGGAAACCCACAGGGGTTGCTATGAGTCAGCATTGACTCAACGGCAGAGCGTTTGGCTTGGTGTTGGCACTCGGTGGTGGTGTGAATGAAGTGCGTCACTCACTCATGGTCATCAAGTCAGCTCTGGATAACAGCAATGCTGTAGGACATAGCTGCCTCTGTGGTTTCCAAGACTATAACTCTTGATGGGAGTCGAAAGCCTCCTCTTTCTCGTGTGGAGCAGGGGGTGGTTTCGAACTACTGACTTGTTATTAGGACCCCAATGCAGAACCTACCAGACTACCAGAGCTCTTATAAAGGAAGTAGCTTATTCCCATGTGGAGAAATATTGTGTGGCGTGATAGCAGTCCGTCACAAAAGAAATTCTAGACTTGACAAGTTCTAAGAGAGAAAAGCGTATTCATGATGACCAGATGGAGTGGAGAGAGGGGGAAAAGAAGGCACAAGGACTTTAGAGGACACTGAATCTGGGGTTCAATAAGCGAGATGATTGGCCAACATGATGGACATAATTAAGGTCATGGAACCTGCATGCAAATGGTGTTGCAATGACAAACGTTTTGCTGCCTCTCTGTTTGCCACATATACACACATGCTCACACACAGATAAGATTTGTGCGAATTTACCTGTCACTATGGATTCAAGTAAAATGCGAAGTTTGAAATGCTTTAATCAAATGGGCCTTTTTAGAGTCTTTCCCAAAGATAAGGAAGGAAAAAAGAACACGGTGTGCTGCACAGCTCCTAGGTCCCAGGTCCTGTGGCACACAGTCCAGTTCAGTCTCTTGACCATACTTGGGTGGATAGCATTCTCCGGTTGCAGTCTCAGAAGTATTCAGGCTGTAGGACGATGGTGGCTGAGCCCAGAACCTGTGGACCTTCCATCACGTGGTCCTGGGAAAAGCTCTTACTAGGCTTCCTGTCTTTGGCATTGGATTACTAATTCATTGCCTGAGGTATCTGGTGGCTCCTCCTCTTTACTATCTGTGAGGCAGAAGTGGGCTTCCAATGTGGTCACTATTCAAAAGGAGCCCACCAACAAATCGTCCCCGGGATAATTACCTCAGTTCTGTTTATAGAAAACCATATGTCGGTAACAGCACAAGTTGCTATTTGTGAAGAGCTGATTTTCTATAAATCCAGAAAGTTAGTGCTGCTTTTCTATAAATATGGAAATGTGCTAATCATCACCTCATCTGCTGGAGATCACTAATAAACCAGAATGCTATTTACATATCAACCTACGCAGAACAAGCACATCTCCCGTCTCTCTCCGATACACAGACTCACCCACATGCACTGTCCAGGCTCACTTCTTTTCTCTCGGGCGCTTCCGGCCCTCTCTCACTCTGTTTCTTCCTGGGCGCCTTTCTCTGCCTCTTGTCCTCTCTTCCGTTCCCACTTCTGTCCCTTTTCTTGTTTTCCTCTCTTTCCTCTTTGTAGCTGTCTTTTTCTCTCTGTACCTTTAATCTAGCTGACTTCCATACTATTTCTATCCCACTCAATGCATGCTCCTAAGACACCTCCTGTGGGGCATGCATTCATGTCCCCCAAAGGCCGAGCTTCGGCGGCTGGCTTGCTCTGGGGGGATCTTTTGTCCTTGGGTTTGCCTCAGATCCTCTCCGGTTTAGTCCCAGAGGATGAACAAGCCTGCTTTCTTCTAACACGTCCTTTAGATAAACGACTTCGACCCCCCACCCCCCAAAGACCATGAACGTGAGACCATGCATCAAAAATTAAGGGAAGCCTTGGATGTTGGGGAGGCATGCTAGACTTCAGTGAGATGCTACAATTTCCCCACGGGCTGTGACTTACAGCTTTCTAACTTCTACAGGAATCACTATGGCTTTGGGCTCAAATTTCTGGATTTAGTTAGATTTTTAAAATTTCTCTTTGAGTCTGTCTTTGGGAAAAAGAGAATTATACTAGCCATTCAGGCTTCTCTGGCACCCAGCCCATTACAGAGCTGCCACGTTCCCAGGCAATTCATGTAATTCAGTGACTCCACATCCCGGTCACGGTGTATATTTCTCTCCTCCTTCTGCACATGCCCTTCCCTCAGGCCTGTCTTGCTAACTTGGCAAACTTTAATTCATCCTTCAGAACCCTTGAACCTGCAACCCTTCTCAATGAAATGTGCCCTGACATTCCTTTGCCCCTTCCCCCATAGTTGTGGGTTTTTTTTTTAATCTATGCCTTTATTTTTTCGGTGTGTTGAGCTTGAATTATGTACCAGGTGAAAACGCAAACACAGCCCCTGTCTTTGGGAAGTGTGCGATTTAGTGAAGGAAATAAACGAAACAGGTGCAGTGTCTGTATGTCATCCTGGGCCCCTCCCTTAGTGCTGCCCCACATCAGCACACCCCACAGCGATGGAGCCCATCCTCCCCACCTCGACAGCCATCGTCCTAGTCCAAGCCACCTTTATCTGTCGCCCGGGTAGGGCTAATGGCTTCTAGCTGGTCTCCAGGCTTCTTCTCTTGACAATGCCCCCTAGTACATTTCCTAACCTCGACTCTACGAGGCGACACTTGAGGATGACATGCTGCTTATTATGTGTTTCCTTTCTTCCCTTCTTTTCTCTCCTCCCTTCTTCTTTCCCCCCTTCCTTCCTCCTTCCTTCCCTCCCTCTCCCTTCCCCTCCCTTCTTTCCTTCCTCTCTTCCTCTTTGACTGTGGTTACTTTTGTTGACATCACTGTTTTTCTCTATCATTCTAGCATTCAACTACTAAAATACAGGACTGTGTTATTTTAGCCTAAGGGCTTATCCAAGTTGTCTCCTCTGTCTGGGCTGATTTTCATTCTGATAATTGCACAGCTCAATTCTTATCATTCATATCTCAACTTGCATGCCATCTCCTTAGACAGGCCTTCCCTGGCCTCATTGTAATAAGATTGCCTTGCTTTATTTTTGAGGAATTGAGATCAACATTTTATACTTCATCATAGAGCATGAAGTTGTTTAAAACGACTGGAATGCATCAGACAATTATAAAGATATCTTTCATCAGTGCTTTTCCCCCCAAAAAAACCCATTTTATTAGGACCTAATCTAGACCTACCATCCCACAGTTCAATCATATCAAGTAGTGTTTGCTACAAAACACTAGTTATCAATTGCTACCAAAATTACTTTCAAACATTTTCTTCCTTCTTGAATTCTTTGATATCAGCTCCCTCTTCCCCCTCCCCCCTCCGCTGCCTTATCCCCCGGTAATCCTTATTCTAGTTGTCATCTCTACAGATTCTGCGATCCTGGGTTTTGTATACAAAAAAGAAAAGAAAAGCATATAGCAAAGAGTCAAGAGGCTACTCAGAGTGACAAAATACAACAGAGGTAAAACCCC